TCTGATCATCAACTGAACTTTTCCGTAATCAGAGTGCTGGAACATTCAGCCAGCTGTTTTAAACTAGACAAGCTTCCTGTTTAAAGACAGATAGTCTTCCCATTAAGATTTGAATATTTTTACTAGAAAGACGATACAGCACATACTAAAACATCTAAAGCAGAACTATTTTTGCTAGTAGAGTTAAAGAAATGTAAACGTAAAGTTCTCCCAAAAGCCCTCAGACATGAGTTTCTAGCAGTTTCATAGCTTTCATATTATAAGCTATGTTTTAGCTTAGCAAGTTGCCCCACAAAAGTGAGTTTGTTCATAAATACAGCACACTCTAATCACATATATATTCACATATCAGGCCTCAGTTCTCTTGCAGTCTGTAACATCTAAAACAGATTTATGAGTCTGATGTAAATGCTATGGAATTCAATGGAAAGATTCTCACTGACATAAAAGTTTGAGAGCTCTACGCTTCAAGTAAACCCATGAAATAAATAACAGATTAATTCATATTGACAAGTAGAGATTCTATCAATCCTGTAGCCTTTGTTTATAGGGCAGATTACTCTTAAGAGTAAATAATTCTGTATGAGACTCTAAATGTCAGATGCACATTGGGTGCCACCAGGAAAGCTCAATTTACACAGAGCATTGTACACTGCTACGAATGCCAAGTGAATTATTTCCATTTCAATTATATGAAAAGTAACATGTAAGCAAGCCTACATAGAAACATGACATCGTTTCACTATGAGCAGCAAGATATGAGCTATTTCCACTGAAATTAACTCAGTAACATTATTAGTGGTTTTTCCTCTCCGAATTCACATTGCCGTTTCCTCTTTCCACTCAAAGCAGTACGTTCTTATTTTATTTCCTTATAAGAAGCAACACATTGATGGCAGATTTTTTTTTTTTTTTCAAAATTTAAGCTAAGTCTCCATTTAAGCCAAAAAATGCTTTTGCTCAAGAAAGACAGCATTGCATTTGTTTTGTACATGAGTCCTCACACCTCAAGGAACGCATATAGTGTTAGTCAGCAGTTTTATTTCTATTCATTAATAACCTCAGCAGGA